AAAGGAGAAGTACTTTTCAGTATTTTATTGCATCACTTTATCTGATATCTCCCCCCTACAAGAAATACCAACTGAAGTAAATGATTAATGTCGAACTCATTAGTATCCTTGCATCCGTATTCATAAACGAAAGACTACGAAAATCAACCATGACGTCAATTTGAATTAAATGAAACAGGACATTTATTGTTGTTTTTCTGAAGAGCACTTTAAAATGCATTAAATAAAGTGGAATAAATCAAGAAAATAAACCTCTACTATGTTTTCTTTGTCAAACGCTCTAAAATAACAATCAAGACAGATTTTAAAAATACTACATAACTTATTGTTACGAATTTGAAGCTGCATATACGGCGATGTATTTAAGACTATTTAAATAATAACATATAAGCTGGAGACATTGTTTGTTAATTTTCAATTCAGTCAATCACGTGAGCTGTACTTTACGGTATTATAAGGTTTTTCATAAAATATAATTCTAAAATTTCATTTTAGTGAATAAAGGACATCTATATTATTTATACATAATAGTGAAAATGAGCAATTTATTTCGTTTATGTAAAGTAAGAATGATGAATAAAATGGAATTATCGGTAGATATTGTACTTGTTTGAATAATAGTTATATCAAGAAATCGCCGGTTGAATTAGAAATCTCATGGTTTAAAAGTATATATAACATTGTTGTTTAATGACACGTTTCTTTTAATAATTACCGGTAACATTTGATTTAATGAAGTAGATTTCGTCAACAAGGCAGATGCTTCCAGATAAAAATTTCTTTTTGATATATCTTAAGTTCTACTTTGATAAGAAACGTTTCATAACATATGTATTCAGTAGTCAAAGCAACTCCGCCTGTAGCTCTCCCAGAGCTTCAGATGACCATCTACCTGGTGGTTGTCAAGATGAAAGTGAGGCTAAAAAAGCATTGAACAACTGAGGAAATAGCATTACAAAGTTCCAATACAACCTTCCTTCGAGATACTGACAAACTCAACGAATTCAAAGTAACCCTCAGCAACACGTTCCAAGCCTTACAGTATTTACTCAAAGAAGAAGAAACCGCCGTGGAGGACAGGTGGAAAAGGATCAAAGTGGCCCTAACTTCGACGTGCCAGGAGGTTCTAGAACGCATGGGGCATCATTATAAGAACTGGATTTGTATGGAAACTCTAGACAGGATTCAACAAATGAAGAACAGGAAGATAGCAGTTAACAACAGACGAACAAGAACAGTGGAAGTCAATGCACAAGCTGAATACACAGAAGCAAACAAGTAATTGAAGAAGAGCATTAGAGCTGACAAGCGGAAATATATGGAAGACCCAACAACGACAGCGGAAAAAGTCTGAAACAGAAGGAAACATGAGACAACTATGTGATATAATTGGGAAACTAGCGGTGAAATATAGTAAAGCAGAGAGACCGGTCAAAGACAAAAACAGAAAGCCAGTCACTGAGATTATAGAAAAGAGGAACATGTGCGTGGAACATTTTGAGGACCTCTTGAAAATACCAGTAACACTGGAACCACCGGACATCGAAGCAGCACCTACAGACCTTCCTATAAATGTCACTTCAACAATGGTCGAAGGAATCAGGATGGCCAGTCATCAAATAAATCAACGGTGGTAAAGCAGCGTGACTTAACAATATACCAGCCAAGGCACTGAAGTCAGACATTCAAGTGCAAACGTGATCTACGTTTTATTTTGGAGAATTTGAGAGGATGAACAAGTGTTGACAAACTGGAGAGGAGGATGCCTCATCAAGATACCAAAGAAAGGAGATCTGAGCAAGTGTGAGAACTACAGAGGCATCACACTACTATCGGTACCAGGAAACGTTTTCAATAGATTGTTGCTGAACCGGATGAAAGACGCAGTAGACGCCCAACTTTGAGATCAACGAAGCTGAAACTTGATGGACTACTACAACATTCATCAAGATATGACAAGTATTTAGAAACAATTTTCTACGTAAGATACTCAATATCCGTTGACCGGATACCATCAGCAACAGCCTATTGTGGGAGAGAACAAACCAGGAAACTAAGAGAAGACGTTGGAGATGGATAGGACATACATTACAAAAATCATTAAACCGCATCACGGAGTGGGTGCTAACTTAGAATCCCGAGCAGAAAGGAGGAATGCCAAAGAACACGTTGCTTCGAGAATTGGAAACAGATATCAAAACGATGAATTGTAACTGGAAAGAACTGGAAAGTATCGTCCAGGACAGAGTTTGACGGCGAATGCTTGTGAGCGGCCTGTGCTTCTCCTCGAGGCGTAATATGAGTAATTAATTAAAGCCTTTTTGTTGAATTTTAGATCTATAGAAATTCATTATTGTCAAGCGTAAGTATTGGGTGATAATTTTAGTTAAGCCAGGAGAAAAGTAAGACAGGCAGAGTAACAGAGACACTAATCCGTTTATACGAAATTTAAGTATTCAAAGTCTAATTTAATTTATAAGTGATAGTAACTTTCATAACTGTCACGCCTACTCAGCGAAAGACATCACTGAAAAACTAGAACAATACTTTCTTTAAAAAGATATTCTAAAAAGTATTTATGTCTTACCAACGTCTTTACATATTAAATACACGCTTGGTTAGGTCACTTAAAAAAAGTCTCAGTTGAGTTTTGAATGTTTAATTTCTTTCAGTTATGCGGTGCATGCACATGTTTGCATGTGTGATGGTCAGAATTACGGAAATAAACAGTTTATGTCCAACTATCATTATTATATTTAATAAACAATTGGCTAATGTTTCTGGATATTTGCATAGGAATAAGTGTTACTAAACTAATTCTCTATGTTTTCATTATTAAAATTAGGCTGATAATAATATTCACAACAATATAAGCTACTTAAACTCGTTATTTCATGTTCTCGTGAAATATTTCTCTTCACTTTTTTTCCTTCTATTTCGTTTACTTCTCAACAGCTGTTAGTATTCTGTTTTTACCAAGTTAAAATTTGTACATTTGTTTTTCTTCCTTCTTTAAACTGGTACTGACATTGGTAGGATTCAAAGAAAATTTGAATGAAATTAGTTATTACTACTAATCTCATCATATTTATAAATATTAAGCGAACTTACTTAATCGTTTATTATTAAACAAACATTTCTGTTGAACTGTTTTTTATTTATTTATTAATATTTATATGCGCACTGCTGTGGAGTCCAATACTGAGATAAAACAATCGTTCAGTGTTTCCAAGTTTTCAGTGTTGGTCTAACATTGATTCATTCATAATATGAATCTAAACTCAACATTCTCCACAACCCTATACTGATAATATTTATATATTTTAAGATTTATTTTATAATAAACTGACATTAAAAGTTTATCATCAAAATACTAGTTTAGAATTGAATTATAAGAATATAGTAGACGGGAAACAGTAACCTCAGTTGGGAAATGAAAATTTTCTACTTTACAAACACTATAACACTAAAAAGAACTATTTTCAATAGGGTAACTGTATATCCTTTTAACATGTCAACTTTAATAGTTGAGATCATGAGTCGATTGTAGGTAGACCACTGTGGAAAACCTGAAAGCCGTTTCGTCCTAATATGAAACTCTTCATCTGTGCGTATCCACGATCCCGCCCACTGCGAGATCCGAAACCAGGACCTATCAGTCTCGCGCACAATCACCTAACCACTAAACCACTGAGTCGGCTTCCAGCAGTGTTAATATCTAACCCCAACCAGTCCACGAAGTTGCGCCACCGTCCACCATTGTCATTAATGAGTTTCTATCTCACAACAGACCTGGTTGAACTCCACTGGTTACTATTTCACACTAGAACTCCATGAAATACCTCTTGAAGCCAGTCACTAGTGAGCATATGCTGATTAGTATCAGAAAGGGTTTTATGGTTATTATGGTAATTTTTATAGTTGAGATCATAAGTCAATTGAAGCTCAATTTTAGACGATTTTGGTATTATCTGTATGTTACATAAACTGTGGAAGAAAATACTCAAATCTCGTTTTTTTAAACATAAAATGAAATGAACATGGAATCTATTTTATCAATGATCTTGATATCAAAATGATATTCTAAATACTGTGAATATTCAAGCTAATTTTCAAAATTACTTTCATTTAAATTTGTTTATATTACTCGCAGAGTTAATGATTGTTTCAGTTAATCATTTAAAAATGTAATTACAAAACTATCAATGTCTAATATTAGTGTATGTGTGAAATAATTCGAAATTGTAGGTTTATAGATGATTTATTGGATGTGAATTTTCACTAATAATGTAAATGTTTGGTTAAAGCGTTAGTTGTCTTTCAACTTCACATTTTCACATTCTTCCTAGTACTTCAGTTCATGCTTCATATGTGCTCACTTTTGTTTTACTGTTTTCAGCAAGAATATGATCAAATATTTGATGTTCTGTTCTCTTTTCTATTTCTTGTTAATTGAATAAAACACATAATTGTTGGGATACGAAATTTTAGGTAGTCGACTATTCATTTAGTAATTCTTTAGTAAAGCTTCAGAGTATGTACTATGTGATATGGTTTTGACTGCTTAGTGATTAGTATCGTCTTTAACATTGAACACATATCTTACTAGTAGTCCTTGAATGGCATGAAACCTTGTACCTAAAACTTTTATCAATTGTCTCCAATAAACTAACTTGAAACAAATGGCACTAATATATATCAAGCCAGTTATTCTAACAGTTATGAACTGACGAGGACCTTTTACTACTCATTTAGAGATTAAAGTTTTAATTTATTATTTATTCACTATATAATGAAGTGGATGTGCAACAAACTACTCACGAGTATTCCGTACCTAATATACAACTTTTTAGTTACAGATTCATGTCAATAAACGTACAGCTATAAATTGGTGTTGATATACTTTAAAGAAGATAGAAATATTTAAGGGAAGAATATCGGTGCAAAATAACTTATACACATTTCCTACTACATTTTTCTTCTTTTTACATGTTTTTCAGGGCAACTGGAGCTACCTTAGGTGTGTTGGCTATATTACTTGTTTTATTCCTATTACTTTTGTGTCTTCCATGGCATAAGTGTGATCGATACTGTTCTTGCTGTCGTTGTTGGATTTTTAGTTCAAATGAGAATATTCACAGACAGTCAGATGATGCATTTCGTGCAGCCAGAATGCCTGGAGAGTACCGTGAGTTCCTTGTTCCTTAGCATACAGTAGGTGTTGTTTTCCGTATTCTTTGGTAAACTATGCTTTTTCTTTAATAGAGAAGAACATAACCTTTAGATTAACAAACAGTAGTCTTTTACTGAATAATTGGGGCAACTATTCATGAATTTGAGCACTCACAATTGTTTCACCCAAGTCAATCTATCTGACAAGCCTAAAAAATTATAGAACATGTATACTGTATTTCATTGTATAGTATTAAACAATAATCTCTTGTACGAAAGAGACCATTTACGTTCCATATATTTTGGGAAATATTAACATTTGAAACGATTTTTAAGTTTAAATGAGGTTGCCCTATTATGATAATTCTTAACAGTTGATGTTGAAATAATCTGTCTACTTATGAGTAGCCAACAGAGTTAATCACAGTGGATTTCATTTTAGCATATAATTTGTAGCATTCAATCTTTTACAGATTTTCATCTAGCTTGTAGGTATCTTGTATGCTGGATAAGTATGAGAAGCAGCATGTGTGAAAGGATTTATAAGAGAAACACGGGATGAGAAATGACAAGGCAACTACGTAAACACATATATTATGCACTTATGTTTCATAATGAAAATAATTGATAAAATTTGATAATAACATAGGCGTAAGATAAAAACAATCTGATAATGGGGAGCTAGAGTTCGATAGCATATGACTGAAGACTAAATACAGTTAATTCACATGAGTGAAATGAAATATGATAATTAAAACAGAAGAATAACCCTTTGAATTCCAAATGTTATCAAACAATAACTTGCATTATTCTTGAAATAAAATATTATAGAATAGATCACTTTTTGTATCACTAGTTTTCTGGGTAAATTGAATAACTTTTTATACTTGAACTGTGATTACTCACAATCAAAAACGATTATGCAGACTTTGATTGTATATAAGGATGTTTTAGTTAGGTTACATGAAGCATACCATTAAAAAGCGACAGAATTTTGTTTATTTGTTTCGAGTGTAACTTCGCAGACAACTATCTCGCGTTTTGATAGCCATTATTTTTTCTAACAGTTTAAAAATTCACATAACTCTGCAAATGATCTTCATCAGATTTTATCATGATACGTCCAAAATAATGATTTACAGGAATCGTTGAATTTACGGCAAATTTATTCTCTTTTTTTATTTGTTTAATACACTGTAGTTATATAGTTAAAACACAATCGGTGAACATTTCATTTTTATGAATGAATGAATATCAATAGCTAAGAGTCAGATATTCACTATTGTGTTACATAATATTTTTTTGTTTATCGAAAAGAATTTACAAGTTATACTATTCAAACATTAAAATCGTTGTCATTAGGCGCTACATAGGTTTGTATTGGATATTTTTATGTTTTATATGTAAATATAGTATATATAAAACTGAATTTTCTGATCAATAATCTATTTTCTTGGTATTTAAGTAGATATTATTCATTATGGAAATGCGTTCTAGTGGTTATCATGTGTTACCTATATATATATATATATATATATATATATATATATATATATATATATATATATATATATATATATATATATATATATATATATATATATATATATATATATATATATATATATATATATATATATATATGTAACACTTCTGTAAAAGAAATTGTCCATTCACTGTAACTGTATAAAGTGGAACATTTCAATAATGAAAGGAGATACCAGTGAATTATATGTATATTTCTGGTTAGCGTATTTTTAGTGAGTTAGTGTTCTAAGGGGTAGAGTCCATAACCCCATGCCCAACCCTCCCCCTTTATCAGGGCCTGGGACTGGTAGTAGCCAGAGAGGGGCTCCAGGCGGAGAAGTCAAAATATGGGGGCGGGAAGTATGGTATACAGTGGACAGAGAGGATGCAGCTGAACAATCTAGACTTCACTGATTATCTGGATCTTCTATCGCACACACAACAACAAATGCAGGAGGAGACGACCAGTGTAGCAGCAGCCTCAGCAGCAGTAGGTTTCAACATGCACAAAGGGAAAAGCAACATTCTCCGATACAATCCAGCATGCACCAATCCAATCGCAATTGATGGAGAAAATTTGTAAATATCTGGCCAGCATGATTGATGAACACAGTAGATGTGATGCAGATGTGAAGGCGCGGATCGGAAAAGCAAGAGCAACATATTTACAATTGAAGAACATATGGAAATGAAGACAATTGTCAAACAACAACAAAGTCAGAATTTTCAATACAAATGTCAAGACAGTTCTACTGTATAGAACGGAAACTTGTACAACTGCGAAAGCCATCATCTAGAAGATACAAGTGTTTATTAACAGTTGTCTACGCAAAATACTTCGGATTTGTTGGCCAGACACTATTAGCAACAACCTACTGTGGGAGAGAACAAACCAGATCCCAGCGAAGGGAGAAATCAGGAAGGAGCACTGGAAGTGGATAATACACACATTGAGGAAAACACCCAACTGAATCACAAGACAAGCCCTCAATTGGTATCCTTGATGTTAAAGGAAGAGCGGAAGACCAGAGAACACTTTACACCGGGAAATGGAGATAGACATGAGAAGAGTGGACCAAAATTGGATGGAACTAGAAAAGAAGGCCCAGGACACAGTGGGTTGGAGAGGGCTGGTCGGCGGTCTATGCCCCATTAGGAGTAACAGGCGTATATAGTTAAGTAATATATATATATATATATATATATATATATATATATATATATATATATATATCAAATTTGATCAGTTCATCATTATTAATTGAGAAATAAAATCCAATCGCTTTTTACTTTCTCTTTTTATCTCCATAGCTATGCCAATGTTTGACTTCATCCCACCATCTGCTTTGCCCAAATTACCAAACTACGAAGAATGTTTAAATACTGGGCCACCAGCGAATGATGAAGCTCCACCTCCGCCAACTCCACTTTCTTTTTATTCAGTTAATTCAAATGGTCAATCAGCTTTACGTCTTACTATCCACAGTCAACCCGATTTAGTTGCTCATAATCGCAGTTCCCAAGCACTTGCTAGTCCTTTATCCACACCTCCACCGACTTACTCATCAACTTGTTTGCAAAGGCCATCAACGACGAGTCGAATAGGTGAAGATACATCTAGAATAGTTGAGAACTCATCTCATACAACATCAAGGCAATTATCGGTGGACCGTTAATTAATTGTTATCTTAATATTTTTCCTCATTACGGTTTTGTACTCGCAAAATGATGGATTACCTGTCTCTCCCTGTTATACCTTGTACCATTCTTTCAGTTGTGGGCGTTTTGATTTTTCCTTGTTTTAATTACAAATATAGAGATGAAAATATATTTATGTGATCACTGAACAATATACTACTACAATTTTGGTGAGTAGTTATAAATCTTAGAGATAAAATAATCAGTTCAGATTTTTTTCTAGATATTTTTTTACCAACCTTTCACATTCTTTCTCTTTTGAAATATTTGACATATCAAGGATTTTCTGATAATAAATAACACAAGCATATACTTTTCTGGTTGTCTGCTGTTATGTAAGAATATGATATATATTGATAGATATTTGTATCAAACTCTTTTATTCGTTTTAAGAAACAATATTTTCAAATATTTCCTTTATACCACCAGGAAACATATCAAAGCTAATTTCATAACTGTATCTCTGTACGTGTTTAGTGGGGCTCCCTGGACATTTTCTACTACTTGTTGTCGCTTGTCATTAAAATGTAAGGGAGGTTTGTCGAGGATTTATGCTTCATCAAACAGAAATCCCCATGAATATCGGATCTGTAAATGAAATAGGATGGAGCATTTACATAGGTGGGATCCGACATTTATTGAGATTGGATTATTACATCACAGGAAAACTATTGAATATGAAGTATTCTCAAAGAATATAGTCGTTATTTACAGGTGAAACTCTTTTAAATACCTTCAAAGTTTAAAAACATTTTAGGAAAATTCCATGGCTCCTCTTGATATTACGTTACGAGTATCAAGCTGTTTCTAAGTCTCTAAACTTGAGTAACAAAATTTTCAGTTGCATAAGAAATTTTAGGATCCCAATATCAAATATATATATGCTCCTCAATTTAAATACTTTCTCAAGATTTTCAACACTCATAGTTTGGTCAGAGATACAATCAACACGAAGGTAGACTAATTACGAATTCGGATTTAAATTCTATAGTCTTCAGTCAATTATCTTCATGACAATGTTTATTATGATTGCCTATCTTTTAAGATGCTAGATTAACTGTATCAATTAGATTTACAGTGTACCTGCGATATTTCAATGATTAAAAAACGGACGTTTCCTTACTTCAAACAAGTTATATTTTTATGAGAATAGATAATTTAATAAAGTTACCTTATCATTTGTATATCATCTTTCTTTTACACTATCCAGAATATTCTCTCAATTTTCATCCTTCTTAGGCAAAAGGCTCGGCTTTTTGAAATAAGAAAAACTATTTTGAAAAATTTTGATCTTTTATGTTGGATGATAATCGTTGACATAACAACCATATGTAAATCAGACTAACAGTTTCTAAAACTGAAATAGTAAATTTTAATCGTTTTATAATCCAAGACTTTTTAAATGCATACTAGTTTGAAATTTTTGAATATACTGAGTGATTAAATCAAATTGATTATGATTTATGAAGTTAATAATACAGATCAAACGCTTAACTTCTATGAATGTTGTATTATATGAGATCAATGGATGTTTATGATAGATTTCATGTGATGCTTATTTATATTGGTAATTTGTAGTGAAATAAAAGTGTAAACTGTCAGAATGATTCAATGATCGCAAGTTCAGACTCTAAAGTTGAAATAATTGGTAAGAGAAGTTGATCATTCAGTGTAAAACCACTTCTTTGTAATTGTAACAATTTCGGAGTAAAGTTTAATTTGTAGAATATGTGCCTAATGTTAATTCTTCTTACTTATGAAGTAATGAAAGGTTGTGTACATAATTCATTGTCAAGTGTTAATTAAACTTATAATCTGGTTTAAATTGTAAATTATTATTAAGGGTATTTACTTATCGACTGCTTATACTTAGGATTTAATGAGACACTGTGTACATCAGTATTAGGGTGTACCTACATCTAACTGATGGGTACGGAGTTGAACGAGTTACACTCCGAATCATCTAAACAATAAACTGATTGAGAAAAACCTAATATCTCTGGATTGAAATTTTATCCTGACTGAGCCCTTAACTTCGGTCATAAAAGTCTTTCGGATTTTCTAAATGATATTATTCATATAAGATTATCTGGAATTTAAGTTTACTAAAAAATAGTGTATTGAATCGTATATTATGTCTGCTAAAGCAACCTAAGGGTATTCGATCAGATATTTTAATTTGTTAGCGTGTACATTACATTTTTAGCAGAAATAACGAGCCTTAAATTACACCGAAAAAGTTAGCCTTTGAGTTGACTTAAAAAGTTCTCTATTACGTTTCACAATTCAACGATTCTGAACGTTCCTATCACGCTGAAGTAGATAACGTCAAAACTTTTGATGGAGTTTTGTTTTCTGAGATGGATAGTTTGGTCGTGTAGCTTTCATTGTTATTCTGAACGACGTCCTCGACACAGACTTCAGTTAGAAGTGAAGTATTCTAATTTCTCCACATATTCACAACTTGTTCTGTAGACCTCGATTTTGATTGGTTATTGTTGACCTTAAACCTATCATTGTTTTGATTTTATCTCCCAGAGGTTTGATTTTTGTTCCTATGTGTGTGCATAACTTTCCTGATTGGTTGATAAATTGGATCGATTTCAATGTGCTTGTTTATTGCTGATTGACGTGAGTGTCAAGCATCTAAAAATTCTCTGGTGTTTTTGGATTTGCCTCTATTCAAAATATTCACATTTTTCCATTTCGCCACCATCTCATAACTTCAAAGCGAAATTCAAGCACAAATATTATAGAAAACCTTGATTCAGACACTTAGTGGAATTTAAAGGAAAGAAGTTAACCAAACGCATCAGGAGACTATTTAAAACAGACAGAAAATGAGCACGAATTCTTTCAAATGACAATGAAACAAGTAAAACGAGTAGTATGCCACAAGTTTGATGTGTTAAAACATCTTAGTTTTAAGAATGTCAAACATCTATTATTGAAATATATTTGGAAATGACGTAAACTTAATGTTTTCATCGTGAGCTACATGTCATTTAATATAAACACACCACTTCCACAGGAAATATATTACATCTTCTATTGTAAAATTTACACCATTTCACAACATTCTAACTTTCCTAAAGTACCTGAGTATTTTACGTAAATTACAATTTTCATTACACTTAACAACTCTTTTTTACAGGATTCATAATTATCACAATTTGTATTAGGCTGATAATACTATATTTTAAAATAACATTATCTTTGATGATACATTTTGCATGCATCGATATGATTCGAACTGCACTCAGAAAGACCTGACATACATGAAATTGATCACCACCTAGTAATCAATCGAATGTAAACACATTTCATTCCTACAGGAAGTCAATAGCGACTCAGATAGCTCAGTGATAATGTCTCTGACTGTGAAGCTGGATGATAAGGAATCGAATCCGTCAAGAAGTATCAGTTCCCTCAAGAATACAGGTACAACTTGCTGATAAGTGCCAAGTTTCATGAAACCTAGGTTCAGAGTTTCCTGTTGACTACCTCCAACTACCATCTTGTATCAAATTACAAAACGTCTTTTATAAATCTTCTATCAGAATATATCTGTTCAACTCATATGTGATTGTTTCTATTTTTTTTGTCATCTTTCAATAGTGGTGTATATTCATCTGTTATACTTACACAATTTGTATTTACATACATAAATTATAATTAATATCAGAAGGGGTTTGTGGAGATTTTAGAAATTTCACAAATTGAAATCATGAGTCAATTGAAGCTAGACCACCATACTAGGACGAAACGGTCGTCCAGGTTTTCCATGGTCGTCTAGCTTCAATTGACTCATGATTTCTATAATTAATATGCATAATCATTAGTATTAGTGAATATATTCGTTAGTGCGAATTAATCGCTTTTATTAGTAAAATTATTATTATTATTATTACAACTCTGTGTGCTAATAACTGGTCATATTGGTCATATTGAATAAAAATTCATTACTTAAAAACAAACAAGTAATATCTATAATTTAATGTACATGTAGACTACTAAATGTACATTTTTTAGATTCATAATTTAATTATTTTCTAGTCAAATTATACATTAATAATTTATAATGAATTAGAGTAAATATGATTAGGTTAAATGAAATATGATGATTAGAATTTTATTGATTTGATTCCTATTAATCAGTAATAAATATTGATTTTTCCTATTTTGATTAATAATATACGAGTACATGATTAAAATGGTAACAAAAATAAATTTATATCAAATTTTGTTCTTATTTATTTATCTATTTAACGCTAATCAGAAGAAATTATTCAAATCATTTAAAACTCACCCTGGAACCCCTCTCGGGCTACCACCGGTCCCAAGGAGGATGGTTGGGCATGGGGTTATCGACCCCATTCCATAGAAAACTAACTCGCTGAATATCGCAATTATTCAAGATTATTTGAATTTATTTAGTTAAATATTTGAAAGTTAGTTTTATTTAATAAATAAATAAAGAAGAATTTAATGAAGAAAAGTTTCTCGACGAAATCATTTGCTTAAGCTGTATATTCATGTATATAGTTATATGAAAAATATATGATTATAGACGGATAGAAAGGGTTGCATCATAAATTGATTCTAAATTAAATATCAAATGAGGTTACGTACTAATCAAGGGGTATGGAAGAAAATGATTTATGGGTCAGATAGTTGTCCAGTTAACAGATGTGAAGAAAAAACTCATTTTATAATAATATATTTACAATGTAACCTTTTCCATCCGTTTATAGACATATATTTTCCATATAGCTATACCTACGATTCTATAGCTTAGGTAAATGACTTCGTCGAAAAGAAAATTTTCGTCACTTGGTGTTATTTACTTGTATCTTCCTATTGTTATCTAAGACTACAATTGATCAGTCACATGTCGGCTTATGTGCATCCTGTGGGGATTGCCTCGATATTGCCTGAAGTCATAAGATTTATAAGCAAAGAGGGATATTGGCTAGCAGTGGAATTATAGAGTGAACATCAACTCTGAGATGCAGGTATATCCAGCTGACGAGTCTCAAATAGGACGAAACGCACGTCTTGGATTCCACTGCTAGCCACTATTCATCTTTGTTTGAAGATTTTCTTCGCTGAATTCACTTTAGTTTTATTACTTACTTACTTACTTACGCCTGTTACTCTTAATGGGGCATAGGCTGCCGACCAGCCCTCTCCAACCCACTGTGTCCTGGGCCTTCTTTTCTAGTTCCATCCAATTTTGGTCCACTCTTCTCATGTCTATCTCCATTTCCCGGTGTAAAGTGTTCTCTGGTCTTTCGCTCTTCCTTTAACATCAAGGATACCAATCGAGGGCTTGTCTTGTGATTCAGTTGGGTGTTTTCCTCAATGTGTGTAT